CACCCAGACATGTTCTCTCATAGTCTCTCCTTATACCAGCGTCGTATAGACAGAAACATGGCATTTCGAGGGGTGGGAAAACCCTTGCGATGTTTTCTATCGACGCGAGATCTAGCAAGTATACACTGCGCAACCTACTTTGTGACTCACGAGTGCGTTGCTTGGGTGTTCTTCGGCTTTTGAGTAAGGGTTGTGTTCGGCATCATAGCCCTGAGTTCGTGTTGGGTTTAGGGTTTAGGACTGAGGGTTTTGGGTTGAAATAGGGTTTAGAGGATCTAAAGACATCCGGCAACCAAACAAGGCCCGATTTCCGGCTGAGCATTCAAGATTTAAAAATGTTGCTTGCATGGCGATGGTGTTGCCTTGTCCAGAGAATTCGGCAGTTCAATCGTTTACATGCATGTGCTAGGTCGCGCAACTACGCGCTTGTCTGTTTCCGGGCTGTCTTGCCGATTTGAGGGTTGCGTGTGTTCTTTCAGCCAGGGGAACGTCACGTTCCCGAGGAAGCCATACTCGCTGATCATGATCTTGCTGAACTCGTCCGCCATCGTGTCGGTACCTACCTGACACCGGGGACCAAAGGCTGACGCAATCCCAAGCAGCAAGACAGATGCGTAATCACAACAAGAAGGAAGACATATAACCACAACATCGTCGAAGAGACCACGATAAGAAACTTCGCTTTTTGGGTTTTTTTTTGGGGGGGGGGCTTATTTGAGGCTGGGGGGGCGGGGAAGGTGGGAACGCGAGACAAAAAAGGACTGGTCCAAGTTCGTACTTTTCAGTTGCTCCTCAAAGGCTTTTCTGGCGCTTCGCGGAACAAACGACGTGATATTTTGCTGTGAATGTGGCAAAAGAGACCCAAATGTACGTCGTTTGGTTTTTTGGGGGCTTATTTGAGGCTGGGGGGGGGGGGGGGACAAAAGGGGGGAACGCGGGAAACAAAGAGAGAAGCCCAACTTCGTACTTGTAAATTGCTCCTGAAAGGTTTTTTTTGGGGCTGCTGTGTTTTTTGGAAAGGAGCAGATAGAAAAGGTAGACAAGAAGAAGAAGAAGAACAAGAAGTGTAAGTGTTGTGATGAACGTTGACGTGATTTACGAAGACGTTGTCGCTGTTACAATGTTGTTCGTCATTGTTGTGGAACTCTTGTTGTGGTTTCAAACTGGTCTCCCCAAGCGGCACCCTCCAATCCCTCCAGATCTGGGGCCCCCGGCGTCCATACGCCACTGCCGGAGCATCAGCCCCGCCTCCTCTGAAGGTCAACCCTCAACCCCTAAACCCTGAACCACTGCATTAATTACGCGTAACATGCTCCTGTGTCAAGCCGACCAGCCGAAGGTTGGAGGCTTGGGTGACCAGCTTTCCCAAAGACATGGTGACCGGGGTCGCCTCCAACATGCAGTGGTACCCTGTCTCACCCGTCTGATCGATGCTGGCCCGGGCTTCTCCCTTGGTGATATCCAGTTTCCTCTGCATGGGGTACAACGGGAACTCCTTTGCGGCGACGCGGAGGTTGGGAAAGACAAGCACCTCTTCTGTCCATGTCTTGTAAGCTCCACCAGCGTCTATGAAAACGCCAGGCCTGAGCCTCTTAAAGGTTTTCTGTCCCGTAAACTCCCACTGGCTCCAGATGTTGTTCCCCATGTCGTCCGGTGGCCCAGTGATGAGCTCGGTCACCTGCATCTTCGCTAAGTAGTTCGAGGGCAGGTCCTGGCCCATTTTACACCCTGAGCCCTATAAACCCCCGAGCGTGAACCCTAAACCCTAAACCCCCGAACCCAAACAACTCCCGGGACTCTGGAGACAATTCTTCCGGTCCTTGGGACTGGGCAGCGGGACACTGGTGCACTCCCACTCCATATCTTCCAGCATGGTAAAGAAGCCCTCGAGAAAGCTTGCGGAAAGGCGTCGTCCGAAGAGGCCCAGCTCACCAGAAATGCTCGGCATTTGCGCCTTAAGGCGTATAGCGCTTATAGGGGTTATAGGGCTTAGGGGTTTAGGGTCCTGCCAAAACGTTGGAATACCTTCGGACAACAGAAACCATGCGTGACACTGTTTTTGTTGTTATTTTTGGGGGGTGATTTACCCCGTTTTCAAGCTGGTTCGCAAGAATTGGTAGATTGTTGGGGTCGGCGGGGCGGTGCCTCGCCTCACATGCCTAATTCAGGGGCCTGAATAATTAGACCAGGGATGTACTATACTTACATGAGGAACCCCGACCATGATAGATGAGTTAGGCCCCCTGTATTACACCTAACAAATCCTGACGCCATCAGGGTGACCTCCGCTAGGCTTGCAAAATGTGCACACGGATGTATCGTCGGGGTTCTGCTCCTTCAACCCGACAGTTCCTAACGGATCTGCAGATGGGATGGGTTAGGGTTTAGGGTTTAGGGCTTGCACCTCCTCTAATGCTGCTGCCAGCTGGTCATCGGCAGACAGCGAGGTGTCATCAATCGTCAGAGTTCCTGCCTTAGTTTGGGCTTGGCGCTGTGTGCCGCGTTCTAAAGTACCAGCAGTGCACGAACGGAAGAATCATGGGACACCCATTCTAACATCATCATCCGAATGTCTAGAACCCACAGTTTGAGCTGGACAGGAAAAAGGAAACACAAAACACCTGGGTTCAGGGTTTAGGGTGCAGGGCCGCAGGGTTCAGCGTGTACCATTGTAGCATTGGTCAGCTGGCCGCAATAGTACGCAGAGATGGTCACCCCAAGGCCACCCAAGCACTACTTGCAGCGAAATAAACCAGAGCCAGCCAATCCAAAGCCAGCCCCGATTTTGCTTACTGCTCATGGTGCAGAAAAACCAAACTGGCTTCGCTACCAGAGCAGGCCTTACCGTCGACGCACGCGCTGGCGCTCGATGAAATTATAAAAATCCTAGGTTGGCCACCCAACTTGTTATTTGGGAACATACTGCAACGTCCATCAGTGGGGAGGGGACTATACTCCCTTGTTTGGGGCTGTTTCGGGGCTTATTGAGTCCGTATTCCCTCCCGCCCAGCCTAAACCCCGAAACCCTTGCCCCTCCGTGGTCCAGTGAGTGGTGCGCTGGACCTGGAAGTCGGGCAGCTCTTGCGGAGGTACATGAGCTTGCCCAAAAGGGCAGACCAACTGCGCTGAGCAAGGCCTTGCTGCGTGCGATGCGGCGGCGGCAGCTGCCACTGGTCGCTGGCAAAGACCAAGCAGGGCCCCCGGCCAGCCGCCAGTCACATCTGGCGCAGGCGCTCGAAGTGCTCCTCGACCAACTGGAAGGCTTCGTTAACCACAATAAGATCACACCTCATCATAAGCGTCAGGACTGCTGTGAGCGGTCTGTGAGCGGTCGAGCACGGCCGTCTTGCCGGCGCCTGGAGCGCCCAGAGCTGCAACCACGCTGCCACGCTCCTCGGCGATACCAACGAGCCTGTCAGACTCGGCATCATCTTCGGCCGCACGGACTCGAAGCTCTTGATCAACACGTTTTGATGTTGCGCTCTAGCCGAGCCTTTACTGCAGGTTGTCGTCTACATCGGCAGTGGGAAAAGGCACGGGGTTTGCTTCGTGGACGTTCTCGGGCCAGTCGGCCATCCATTCGCGGCGGGCTCGAACGAAGTTCCACGTAGGCCCGAGTCGCAGGCGGGCGCCTCCACACCTCCGGAGCCCAGCGTAGCGCAGGCGAGGTAGCAGCGCTATCGGGGACGCAATCAACAATCTCCGGCATCGAAAGGGAGCATGGAGGGCAAGACTAGGGCAAGCCATTGGCCGAAGAACTTCATGGAGACCACTTCGGCTGCCACGACCTTCTCTCCGAAAACCTCGCAGAGGAGAGCATGCTCTGAAGACTTTCGAATCTGATACGCTCCAAAATGGCCTTTCGCAGAAACTCATGTAGAGTCATAGCATATCCCTGCGCTAGGCTGCGATTTCGTAGCGGCGCACTGCTCGACGGGCATGCGGAGCAATGATCGGCCTGGTGTGGCGCCTCCAAAAAATGACGGGAAAGGTCTGGCTGGCCAGCAGCAGCCACATCTCGGGCTTACCAGGTGGAATGCAACCAGCTGGGGTCAGCTCCTTTCCAGGCCAGTCGCGGTCGGTCGCCGCGTGCTTGAACATGAGATCCGCCCCCCTCTGCATACGTCTGGTGGCACTTTGGGGACGCATAGGACCTCGGGGCGTATTCTCGGACACCCAGGTTCTTGTCCAGAGACGATGACGCTGCAAGTGGACGGCGTCACATAAATAGCTGGAAGAAGTCCTGGAACTGCCCCGGCGGCCCCCGAAGAAAGGACGTTTTCCAGTGGACGAGGCATCGCCAATCTTCCAACCCCCTCCATTCGCTCGGTAAGAAGATCAAACCCGCAGAGGGTTGACGCGGACACGAACAAGTGTGCAAAAAACGATGGTTTTAGCACCGCGACCCGGCGATTACCCGCAGAGGGTTGTCCGCGGCCAGAAAGAAACGTAAAAAAAAAATGACGGTTTTAGCACCGCGACCATGCCGAAACCCGCAGAGGGTTGTCCGCGTACAGCAAGAAAAGTCAAAAAACGACGGTTTTGGCACCGCGACCACGCCGAAACCCGCAGAGGGTTGTCCGCGCACAGCAAGAAACGTCAAAAAACGACGGTTCTAGCTCCGCGACCACGCCGAAACCCGCAGAGGGTTGCAATCCCGATTGACGACGTCAACCCAGCCCGCCGCCTTAAAAAGAGTAATTTAATTTAAGAAATGTAGGACTGGGTACGAAGGTCTACTAAATTCTACTAAGATCTCGTAAATTCTACTAGATTGTTTAAATTGTACTAAAATCTCGTGAATTCTACTCTATGCACTTCACTCTATGCACTTAACTCTGTGCACTTCACTTTATGCACTTCACTGACAGGCTCCATGAAGCTCGGGAAACCCCGCCCTGCTCTTTCTCTACAAAAAGCAAGAAAGCCCCCCTTGAGGGGGGTTTGGGGGGTGAACCCTAAACCCTAAATGAGAATAGTTTGGGTGGTTGGGGTGGGACTACATGCTAACGCAAGCGAGCGGCCCGGGTGCTTTTAGCACTTAACTCTGTGCACTTCACTCTATGCGCTTAACTCTGTGCACTTCACTCTATGCACTTCACTCTATGCACTTGACTCTATGCACTTCACTCTATGCACTTAACTCTGTGCACTTCACTTTATGCACTTCACTCTATGCACTTAACTCTGTGCACTTCACTCTATGCGCTTAACTCTGTGCACTTCACTCTATGCACTTCACTCTATGCACTTGACTCTATGCACTTCACTCTATGCACTTGACTCTATGCACTTCACTCTATGCACTTGACTCTCTACACTTCACTCAATGCACTTCATTCTATGCACTTAACTCTACGCACTTAACTCTATGTACTTAACTCTATGCACTTGACTCCATGCGCTTCAGTCTATGTTGTTGGGTCAGAGGGCTCCGCACGGAAGAACCCTTCGCGATGCTTTCGGGAAAAAACTAATCACTATATTACCCTTAATAAGGAAGAACATGTTTATTTTTTCGGGGTTCTTAAGCAATTAGCAGACTAGTGCCCCCTTTCACAGCCTGCTGGTTCACACCAGCACTCCAGCACTTAGGGTCTAGGGTTTAGGGTTTGACCCTGGCCTGCGTGGTGAGTTTGACAATCGACCCGCACTTGCTGGAGCGTGTCTGCACTCGCTTCACACCTGCGTCGTGACAGGATCAGACAGTTTAGGGTTCGCGTTAGGGTGTAGGGTTCAGGGTAGCCTAAATCTCAGATTCTTGGGGCAAGTCTTCCGGAACCAGGCTTCTCGTCTAAGAGCCCGGAGGCCGGAGACCCGAGCTCAGTGTGAGCCCTCGGCCAAACCGTTCGGGGTCTGCCGCTCGACTGCAGTGACCCCTCACTAAGTTCAGGGTGTAGGGTTTAGGTTTTAGAGGAAGAGACAAAATGAGACCAAGAGGAGGACGGAGGAAACGCGAAGAGGGGGCTAGGAGGAGATGGAGTGGAAGGGGGCCGAGGGAAAGAGGATCTTCTCTGAAATTTGTCTTTTGGGCTGGGCATCTAGTAAACAGGTCCAATTAAGGGGCTGCCAGGATGTCACGACCTGATTCCTCAGAACAGATGTTGGGTTTGGCAGCTACACCCTAAACTCGAAAGCCCTGAACCCCTACCGCGCACAGGGCAGGACGGTTTAGGGTTTGCGGTTTGGGATCACATGGCAAATCGCGCCAACCCCAGAAAACTATGCAGATCAATGCTTCGGATCTCAACGGAAGCACCTTCGATCTTGAGCTTTATGAACTTCCCATTGTCGCCCTTGAGCGTCACCTTGACTGATCCATGGTTTACTCCAACGCTGACTGCCAGGCACGTGTACGGTATGAGTCAGAGAGCAGAGGGCAACGCAGCAGTCATTGCAGAAAGATGCGGACCCAAAGAAACCCCCGAAACACCTAGAAACGCTGTGACAATAAGAAACTAGCTAGCATGAGCTCTGTCAGACTGCACCTCGAATCTTCATCCAGACCGGTCTACCTTTGGAGGAAGCTGAAGCTTGAGAAAACCTAAAGCTCTTGTGCGGAACCCTAAGCCCTCGACCCTCAACCTTCAGCCCTCAACACAAAACCATAAGAACCGGCCTCTTCGAGATTCTTAAACACATCATCCGGGAGCGTCGAAGCCAACGCTTTCCCGGGCTTCGAGGCCGCCATCTGCTCCGAAGACAAATGCGAGCCATGTGGGGGTCCAGGTTTTAAGGTTTGGGGGCCCATATTTTTGACCCACCCCCAATGTAGGCTTCAGGCAAACTTGTCGCTGTACAGGGGCTTCATATGCATTCTCAGGATTTCACACATTGGCTTGCGCAGCTGATGTGGCGGAACCATGACAAACATTGGCTTGGGCAAGGGTGAAGGTTAATTCTGCGAACGTTATAAGTATGGCAGGCGTTCCTACCATTCTCGTCTGCAAAAGACGAAGGGTGTTCATTGCGGCGGCCGGGGGGGGGGGGGGGGGGGGGGGGGAGGCAAGCTACGCAATCAGGGGCGCAGGCGAAAACGGGGAGAGAGGGGAGACGAGGCCATCATGGAATCCATGTTTCTGGAGGGAAATCGGAGCTAGCCTCCTCTGTGCTAAAGCTTAGATCCGTATCAGTGACACCGAATCCATGTAGAACTCCTTCGCTTCGGTCCCATCTGCCAGAGCCCACCTGCAGCACCGGTGGTCGGCAGGTGGTGTTTGCCTAGGCTGAGATCATGTGTCATCTTGTCCCATGTTTTCAGCTCGGCATAGGGTGCATGCAAAACCATTTGGGGAAGCGAGACACACCAATGAGCTTCACGTGGGACTCTGGAGCAATCAGGAGAATCGGGCCACCTGTAGGAGGCGCCACAAAGCCACCCCATAAGCCATAAGCCACAAGCCCTGAATGGGCTGAAGGGAACCCCCTTAACCCTAGACCCTAGACCCTAAACCCGGGGCTACAGTCCAGCTTTTCAGGCAAGCTGCCGGGCAGGTACCGTTGCGAGTTGTGACGGTTCCATCGCTCTGGACCTCAAATGAAGCACTGTCCACCTGCACAGGGCAAGATCCTTGTATCTCCCTGCCCTTCTTAGGAGTTAGGGTCTAGGTTTAGGGTTTTAGGGTTGCCGACACCCTCGGCCTTTACGACCTCACCATTGCCATTCTTCATGGTGCCGGAAGAATCCCCGCGCATCTCCTGACCGCTGAGCTGAGGTGGAGTGCACTGAAGCACGTCTGCATTCCCTTGCGTCTCCCTCTCCGTGAGCATGTGGGTAGTTGTCGAAATTATGGGAACCCTAATCCCTAAACCATATGGCACCATATGGCCTGGGGACCAAGCATTGACCCCAGAACAGTGACCCAAATGAACCACCCAATGGTGTCAATACCTGAATCCTCAAATGCAGGCAAACTTTTTGAGTACAGGCCAGAACCTGTCCCCGAATGCGCGACTGGCTTAGGCAAGGTTTCTTTGACTTGAAGCCCCATAGAAACCCTGCCTTCAAGAAACCCGAAACCCTAAACCCTAACCCCTGTTATAGCGCAAACTACGGCTCTGCGACGCTAGATGCTCACGGCTCCACGACAAACGTGGTGCAGAGATCTCATATGAAGGTTTCCGCGATTGGAGACCCTTTCATGTACAACACCCCCCCCCCCCCCACATTATGGCAGAAAACCCTTGTAACGAGGACCCCAACCCTAAACCCTAAACCCTGAACCCTGACTTCGGAAACCCCATCCATCACCAACTCAACCACGCTCCTGCCCAGGAAACTTTGCCTTTGACCACCGTTGAAGGGATCCGAACTGCTGCGAAAAGCTTTCTGACTTCTTAGGGCTAAGGCTTTCCGAACCAAGTTCCTTGGCCAAGTCCACTGCCATGTAAGACAGGATGAAGGTGCCCGTGAGGAGGAGGATAATTACCATCGAAAGGCCGACGATGATCCTGGCTGGACCCCGAAACCCTAAACGCTAAACCCTCGGCATGTTACAGCCCTTGACAGATGAGTTTGTAATGGATCCAAAACGTAGAAGCCCCAAGCAGAACCCCTCATTCGTCTCTGGGGTAGAATCTAGGAATATAACCCGCCTAGAAACCCTAAACACTAACCCCCTAGAACCCTAAACCCTAAACTCTAAACCCTCAAAACCTTGTGGGGAGCACCTCAGCCCGGAGCCCCTCGCCTTCGCATCGTGCGGCCTTCTTGCTTTACCTTCTTGTGCGCGTGTGCTGCGGCGGACAACTCAACCTTGGAACCCAAAGTTTAGGGTTTGGGGTTTGGGGTTGAAATTGCAAGACCGCATCTTGCACCAAACCTTCCAGTCTCTGGCAAAGCCAGCGAGGATGATACGTAGTCCGAAACCCTAAACCCTACACCCTGGTTGGCTTCGCTTCGGACTTCGGGCTTCGGGATTCAGTCTCAGGGCTCCACCACGCTCACGCTGCCACTGCGGTCCAGATCCCATTCCTTCATCACGTCCTTGGTTTGGAGTTTGAAGAATATAAAGCCTAAAGCCAAATAACCTGAACCCTACAACCCTGGCCCGATGGTTAAATGGAGAGCTGTTGCCAGGGCTCCGGGGCTGTTTCGCAGGCTACCCGTTGCTGTTTCGTTTAGGGCTTAGGGCTTAGGGCTTAGGGCTTAGGGCTTAGGGCTTGGGGCTTAGGAATTCCTAGTAGGGCTTTGGGCGCTAGGATTCCTGGACGCGCTCCGGCATGTGCATGTAGCTGACCTCCGAGGAATTCATCTCTTTCTCCTCTGGCGTGGAACATGCCCGAGGTGGGTTCGCAGGAATCGTGCCTGTCATCCTTGTTTATTGCTTAACTGAGGGTTTTTGCTTTCTGGGAATCTTCCCAGCCGCTTCCTAACCTAAAGATCCTAAAGGCCCTAGACCCCATCCTTGACGAGGCGTTTCAGCAGGGCGAGGCCATTCTCGACTTCGGAATGCGACAAATGGCCCTTGGAGCCGAACAGGTCCTGCAGACACTGCAGGTGCCGCTGCGGCCCCCGAGCTTTGCGGGGCTCTGCGGGGCTTTGCGGGGCTCTGGGGGGCTCTGCGGGGCTCTGCGGGGCTCTGCGGGTTGAGGGTTTAGGGCCGAGGTTGGAGACTGCACGGGGTTCGTGTGGGCCTTGATGCTTGAGATCATCTTCAAGGCATCTCTGACGTTGACTTCATCCAGGATTCCATCGTCATCTGCGTCGACCACCTCCAGATCTTCAAGCTTTGTGTTTTGTGGAATTCCAGGCTGTGCGGTCAAATTCCGCTCAAAGGTACTTGTGAGAGCACGGCATGGACCTCTGACAATCCTGAAACCAATTGCTTCTGACTGATGAATCAGGTGTGTTGGTTCATTTAGGCGCTTGGAGCCTTCAGCAAGCTCTTCAAGCTTGGAGGCATATTTAACGAATCCACATCCATCATGGAGCCATCAGCGTGCTTGAACATCACCTTCGTGGAGTCCTTCGGTTTAATGTCTAGGGATGTCTAGGGTCAAGGGTCTAGGGTTTAGGATGTAAGGTTTAGGGTGGCTTGGGCACAAAAAAATAGCTACCAGTAGGGTTTTAGGGTTCAGGGCCTAGGTCCGGAGAACCTTTCAACCCTCAAGGGAACCTTGCTTCGTCCTAAGTCGATTCCCACATTAAATGACCCGAACTCTTCTCACAATCTGGCACCGCTCCTTCGTCTCCTTCGATGAAGCAGGGCCGCCACTTCGCGCGGCAGCTTCCTCTTCATTGTGTTTTCAAACATATTCAGTTGTGCAGGGTTTAGGGCTGGGCTGAAAGTTGAGGGTTTAGGGTTTAAAAGTTTAGGGTTTACGATTGGCTGGAGCAATCAATAGTCGAGCAAAGGTTAAATGCCACAGCCAGAGAATCCCGTAGCATGAGGAAAATATAGTGGGTTCTTATTCTTCTCTCCGCTACATCCCGACAGTCACGGTCCCGTCCAGGTCTTCAACAAAAAACACAACACGCCTCACGAAAGCGCGGAAGCTAGCCCTGCCGGGGGGGCGGGGGGGGCCTGAGAGGCTTCGTGGAGGCCCCAAATGGGCAGGATTCGTCCGGACCCAAGACAAAAATTGGATAGGGGTTTAGGGTTGAGAGTTTAGGGTGTTTCAACGAGGGGTCTCGCTGGCGCTAGAGGCACCCAGGCGCGTGCCCCGACCCGTGTGAGCCCACCCCCGCGGGCACTCCACCCTAGCCTCGACCTTGGTTCTCTGAGCAGTGGTTTTCCTCATGACATGGCTTGGGGCGCAGGGCTGCTGTCGCACAAGAGACGGTTTAGGCTTTTGGGTTTAGGGGTTAGGGTTTTGGGTTTAGGGATTCGGGCATTGTTCACGCGGACATGCCACGCGAGGCCATGCTCACGAGATTCTTGCTTTGAGAAACAGCTCCTACATGCTCCTTTTCAGGCAGGATGGCATGCTTCGTGTTGCCACGAATGCAGACCACATCCACTTCTTAATCCTAAGTTCTGTGTTCTCTGCGCCTTTTGAAGGGCCCAAGAACTGTGTCCCACCCGAATATCCGTCCTCTGCGCCCTTTAGCACCTGATCGTCGAACCAGGAATCATATTCCTCGTTGTTCGCCATGGCGGCTGGAAGTTAGATGATTAGACCCGATCGGTCTGAGCAAAACATCTCCAAGCATCTGGAAAGAATCAGGGACGTAAGGCATGGAGACGTTTGGCTTGTTTGTGGAAAACGTGAGTGACCTGCATTGTGCCACGGGATTGCTGTGAGCGATTCTCGCCTGGCATCCTGATTTATACCTGCCTGTGGGGGTGTTGGGGGGGAGTTTAGGGGTTCAGGGCTCAAGACAGCGTTTAGAAGCTCAGGGTCCCGGGGTTTGGGGTTTAGGGCTCGCGGTTTAGGTTTTGAGTTTTGGGTTTGAGGGTTTGGGGGTGTCATCTAAACCCCAAACCCTAAACCAGCCCGCCGCCCCCGATCCGCGCCAGGGCAGCGCGAAGAAGGCCATGGCAATAGATTAAGGCTTTCGGGCTTCCAGGTTCGGGGTCTAGGTTTTTGGGCTTCAGGGTGTAGGGTTCAAGGTTCAACGATTGTGTGTTTTGGACTTTAGGGCATGGGGCCTTTTGGGGTTTAAGTGCCCAAAAAGCCACGAATGAGGGCGTAGCGCTTTGGGTTTAGGGGCTTCATAGGCTTGAGGGCCCGGGGTGTCCGGCTCTGAGGGTTCAAGGATATACTATCTTGCCCCATATAAACAGTCCCCAAATTAAGGGACCTAATTGGGTCCTTATTATGAGGGATTCCGACTAGCAGCAGCAGGTCTCATCCAGCAATTCCGAGGAATGGCCTTCCTTCCACCGCAATCAACCCTTGAGATTCCAGAATTTGGATAAGCTTGTTGTGAAAGTGGCTCCCAGCCGTTCAAAAAGTGTTTGCCTCCCACTACACAGGATTCCCCAGCGACCATGACCTACAGACCGCGAAAATACGCGTGAAGCTTGAACAGGCCCCGTAGGTACGAATACGATGTAGATCTCCCTACCAGATGTCAATAGGCCAGACGACTCTGCCACCCCCCCACCACGTTACCCTCCCACACACAAATGGCTCAGGAAGCGCGGGCAAATGCAAGACCACAACCCCAGCGGGTTGGGGCTTTGTCACTGTATGAAACAACTCCCTAGTACACGCCGCCTACGGTCCAGCCATCACTGACCCCAGATCGTGTCATAGGCGCTACGGCAGGCAGCCACAAGACTGGCGAACTTTCAGCATGGCTGGAAGCGATACTGTCCGACCGTCACACGCCTTCAGAAATCACTGTTTACAATGACAGCAAATGGGTCAGAGAGATGCTGCAGGGACGCTCCAGACCAAAACGCCACAAAACATTGGTAAAAAAAGCTGGACAGACATCTCCACACGCTACTGCTAAACAAAGTCCATTGGCAGTGGGTGAAAGGCGCTCAGGCAACCAGTACAACGAGTAAGCGGACAAACCTGCCGGATCAGGAAAAAGCACGCACTTTCCCCTCATGGAGGACTGTGAACACCCCGCCTCCACCCAACATTCCGACAATGTCGAAGAACAGGACTACGCTCAGACAAATATCCTTCTCGCCGCAAGTGCGCCAGCCCAAGCAGTCCTGGATTACGCCGCAACTTGCCGAAAGCATAGAGCCGTCGAGGAATACAAAAACGAGACAAGCCAGAAAAACCACAAGAATGTATGGGAACAAGCAAAAAAGGAGACGTGCACTGATGGCAAGCCGCTAGAAAACTCCAAAAGGGCTTCAGGGAGAAAAGCCAAGGCTAAAACGCCAAGGAAAGCTGGTACCATGGTCCCAGACCCACGAGGTTTTTGTGACTTTCTGGCAAACACACAATGTGGCCCCACTGTTTCTGGAAGAGGACAGACAACTGTTGCGAGACTGCCCCGCCCTGCACCCACCCCCGACCACTCCGCCAAAGCTCTTCAAAACTTTATTCAGTGCATAGCAATCTCCGTTATTGCAGAGCTCCAGGACTAGACGAGCTACGCCTGGAGTTGTTGGAACTCCTCGATCATGTCGGTGAAACATATGTCATCATATGTCCTTAACCTAATATTGCCTGCTTCCACGCCAAAAACAGTCCCGCAGGATTGGAAAAAAGCCCTTATTGCAAGCATCTACAAAGGAAAGGGACAGGAAAGTGATGACGTTAGATAAGATAGAGACTGTATGCAGATAGCGCTGCAAAGAATGGGAGTACACCCGCACTACATAGACATCATTCGAGATCTATACACAGACCAAGTCTTCACCACAGCAGGCTTCAGAGGCAACACATGCAAGGCTACACCGCGCGCAGGATTTCGACAGGGGTGTCCACTCAGCCCCTACCAGCCCCTACCTATTGATAATGGTAATGAGTGTTCTCTTCATGCGCTGTGCAGGCATCCCTACAAGCACATGGTCGGTAGGAAAGCATATATACGACCTGGAGCACTCAGACGACAGATGAGATATGAGATGGATCCTTAAACACAGATCCCGGACTGCACTGCTTTGGAGAGGCTATTTAGTGCGCCGTTCTGTGCTTTCTAGGCTGATTGGCTGGAGACACCATGTGCTTGGAATTCTTGATGAGGGCGATGACGAACAATGACAGCGCCCATGCTTACTACCACAACCCAGACGACGACCACTGCTGCTCCTCCTTCTTCTTCCGCTTCTGCTGCTGCTACTGCCACCGCTACTGCTGCTATACCCCATATGTACCCGTAAGCCCTCGGCACGCAGGTTTCCTGGCAGATTTCATACAGGGCTTCAAAGACTGGCAGCCGACATCCGCGAGCAAAGGCAAGGAAGGCCACCCAAGGGTTTAGGGTTTAGGGATGTTTAGGGCTTAAGTTAAAGGGACGGATCTTCGAGGAGGATTGTATTCTCCTGTATTCATAGTTCAGTACAACCTGCTCCTAAACTCTGAACCCTAAACCCAACACTTGAGCTTCATAAATCCCAGGTTCAACTTTCAGTGGTTTCAAACGCTGAAGCCAGGTTGGGTGACCATTCCGATTCGAATCCTCGGGGACAAGTATGAGATTTCGGTCACGAAGCTGTGCTGGGGGTTTAGGGGTTCGGGTTTAGGGTTTTAAGTTCAGGTGTTGGGAAAGGGTTTAGGCCCGGTTTAGGGTTTCCGAAGCCCTAAACCCTAAACCCCAACCCTAAACCCTAAACCCCAAACCCTAAACCCCAAGACAATCAAGGGAGGGCTTTCAAGAGCCACCCCTCCACCCCAAGACCACTAATCCCCTAAGCCCCTATTAACCCAGTACCACAGTGTTGCTATCTTAAGTGTTCTCGCATATAGCATAGAATCGAAGCATGTTGAGGCATCAGATTATTCTTTTTTATTAAACCTTACTGCTCCAAACCTTGACCACTTGAGACATCCCCGAACAAACTCCTAAACCCTAAATTCCAGGCACTACGCCCTGAGTGCGAAACACAGGTTTGGGTTTAGGGTTTGGGGTTTGGGGTTTAGCGTTTAGGGCTTAGGGTCGGGGTTTAGGGTTGAGGGCTGGTGTGCTATGACATTGTCCACTATACAAAGCAGTCTGCCTGCTCGGATCTAGGAAGTTCTGATTTAGGGGTTTAGAGGAATTGGAGGTCGAACCCCAAACCCCAAACCCAAACCCACTACCACGTACTGAATGAAGCGGAGCTTGAGAGATTCCTCTTACCTCTACTTCGCATGAGAGGCTGGCAGAGAGGCTCCGTAAGCAGCAGAAGTACCATATATACTATGTGTGTATATATATATATATACTCCAGGACAGAGTATGTCGCAGTGCAGGAATGCGAAGCAGTGCAGCAGACTCAGCCCGAAACCGAAACCCTAAACCCTTTCCTCGTGTTCTCCGAAGCCCTTGAGGATCATCTTGGATGTCATGACCCTAAAACCCTAAACCCTAAACCGTAAAAACTGAACAGAACCAGCCGAATGCACATGGGAACCTTCGTACTTTATCCTGTGCATCAGTGCATCTACTTTCGTAGATGATATATCGTAAGAGAGTGCTATTTATGATATGGGGGTATCGTGGTACCACCTTTTAAAACCCCAAATGGTCGGTCTTCCTCCCTTGCTCTGGTTTCCTGTAGTTAATCCCAAACCTGTAGTAGAGCTAGGGGGTCAAGAAGGAATTGTGTCCAGTATATGGGCGGTGGGTATTTGTCTTTACATGTGATGTGCTTGAACAGGTTTGGCCGCTTAAAGGTGAGGGCGTCTACTGCATGACTGCTGCGGAGTAGTTGTAAGAGCGATTAGCATGAGGGCGGGTATCAGCGTCGAGCTTTCCTTTGCCGTACATATCCACTGCCACTAGAACCGCACGGTGCTTTTTGATTGGAACGCGCGTTTCGTGTAGGTAGAACGCTGTAGTTTAAAGTAACATTTTGAGTATTAATTTATATATATATATATATATTTCTTTTTTTCTTTTCTAAAAGCGCTGTTTTTTGGGGTTTCTGCGAGCGCGCGCACGCTTTTTGTATCTTGCCCTTTTAATGTTGTGGTGGCGTTGTTTCCTTGCGTGCTTTCTCATTGAAACGTGCGTTTAGTGTAGGTCTTGTTTTGAAGTTAATATGAATTTATGTATGTTTTTGAAAAACCTTTTTCGAGGTTTACGCGCACACATATGTTTGGCATGTTGTTTCCTTGTCTTAGGGTCTCGAGGTGATGTGGTTTCGGCGTTGGTTCCTTGCGTGGCAGTTTATTGAAACGGTTTTTAAAGTGCTTAGGGTTTGGGGGTTTAGGAACGTAATGATCCCCCCCGCTACCCCCCCCCCCCCTCCTCCCCCCCCCCACCCCCGCCCCCGGGAACAGTAAAAGACCTTAAAAACCTTGAGTAGCTAGAGCGTCGCTAGGCATAAGAATGTGGGGGCCCAGATTGGTGTTTCTGAGGAGAGGCGACCTCAAAGCCGCGAGTTCAAATACTTGGACCCTTACCTTTGTACCCGAGTTCGGTTTAGGGATTAGGGTTTAGGGTCCCAGAACCTTCGAAGCTTCTAGGGCCTAGAGGCCTAGACTGCCTAGAGCCCACATAATTCGGGCTTTCGGGTTTAGGGTTGAGCCTGGCA